GATTCTATGTTCATCCCTTCAAAACTGGTTGACTAATCACATCAAATAATATCAAATTACATCAATACATAATTACAGAATGACTGAGAATCATGCCCTAGACTAGTGAGCACATATTTTTTTGGAATGGGGCAAAATTCAATCCATGATATCTAGATTTATAGTTAAAAATAACAAAAAGTTTAAAACAGAGTCCTAATTTAAAAATGATGCCTTTCATCAAGCGTATTCTACCGTTTTGGGTGAAAAAATAAATGTATATTGGAATTTATGAAAGAAAATTAATTTATGGAAAAAAAACATATTTGAAAATTTCACACTTTTGTAAGTACCCTGGAATACAAATGAGGACATATCAAAAAGTATTATTACAAAAGTCATATAAAATATACTAAAAAAACTCAAAGTATGCAACTGGCATTCCTTGACATATCCTCTATCTGGCTTTATCCGTTTCTGAAGGTTGAGTGTCAATCTACCCTTTCTTTCTTAAAAGACTTTGTCTTTATTTTCTAGTGTATTTTTTCCTCCTTGTGCTTTCTCATTGAGTTACTTTTTTAAGAGTAACCAGGTATGAACTTTTGTTTTCTAATCACAAAGCCATCTTAATAATTTCACTTTATCATTAATCAATTAAACAAGTAAAAACGTTTGAATTATGCCAAGGTACATTAATATGAATAACAATATTCCATATCATGCTAGTTATTACTCTTTAAAAACATGAGATTTTCATTTTCATTTTCAAAATTTATCTTAATAAAATTCCTAGTAAATATGGTGTTTAAATTATGTTTACTATATGGTAAGAATAATTTCTTATACTGGAATTTAAACAATAGGAAGTAAATTTTTCCATACCAAATATCTCAAACTGTTTATTTTATAACTATCAGAACCATCAGTTTTATATGTGTTTCACACAACCAAAACCCTCAAATTTGTCAACAATATCACTTCTCTTAAAATGCATCTTGTATTCTATGACCAAGCAAATGTACTGTAATGTGTAAAGAAGCAAGAAAAAAAATTAAATAAAGAATCTTTTACTTACGGAATGCTCTATAAAATTCTTCAAGTGCCAGGTGCTTGTCAGAATTAAAATCATCATATTTCAGTAGATGATACAAAGTACAATCAGATAGATCCTTGCTAAATTCTTCTTGTTTTATTATCTGATGAGAAAATTATAAAGGTACAATTATATCTGTCTTAACATTTGATGGTGTAATTACTTCTAAATCATTGAACAGGTTGCTGGGGACCTGACACTGACTCATTTAGGAAAACAGATTGAGTTAATAAAAGTGACATATAATCAATTTAAAGCTATACAGTTAGGGTTACTGCTGTGGCTAGTGCTCATTAGGTTGATACGGATTCAAGACTACCCATGTTTCGCAGGGCAGGACTGGCAACCACAGGGGTTTTAAAGTTCTGATCTTTCGGAAGCAGATCATTAGTCTTATCTTCCAGAGTACCCTTGGTTGGGTTCAAGCCAACTACCGCCTAGCTGTTAGGGAATGCTTACCTGCACGCACCAACTAGGAACCCTAAATTTAAAAATAAGTACATAGAATTTAGCCCAAATTTTCTCACATTGTTAGGCATTTCTGAATCTGATACAACTCATAGTAACCCTATGCACAAAAGAACAAAATCTGCTCCATCATGCATCATTTAATAACTGTTGTGGATGATTATCAATCTATTTCATTAAGGAGATTCCTCTCTCGCTTTTTAAGTAGATTTATTGGCATATATTTCACATATCATAAAACCTAATTGCCCAAGTATATTATGAAGATTTGTGCAATCATCATTACAATCCAATTTCAGAATATTTTCTTCTCTTAATTATTGTTGTTACTCCCTGTTCCACTCAACCTCCCCTGCCATAAGCCTAGTCAATTATTAATCCAGTAGTCTCTACAGATTTACCTATGCTACATTTCACAGAAACTCATGCAAAACACAAACAGGAAGCAAGCAGCAATAAATATAGAACAACAATAACAGAACAAAACAGTAAATCCACAATAAAAAAGCAGAAAATATTAAACATGAAATCAACTTTAAAATGATTGAAAGGAGAGATCAAATAATAAGCTGTCATGCTGTTTCCAGTTATTGAACTTGGTGTCCATCCCTTTTCAGGGACAGTTTCTCCTGATAATGGCTCATCGTAGGACCCAGGGTTCAGAACACACAAATGGTATAAAGGAGTTTCTGTATTTTATTCATGTATCTCCTTCTTGTACACTGAATCTAGACAATGCCTCCACATAAAATTGGCTGACCCTGCCTCAGTGACCATGGCCAAGATAGAGCATTCTATTTCCCAAAAAAAGGGCGAGGTGATTTGTAGCTATTCTCTTCCTCATAGTATACATGAAAAATGAAATGAGAGTCTCTCTTTTTTATCCCCCCTCTCTTCTATCTAACCTCCTCCCCAGATGGAAGTTTAGCCATTTGAGATTGTGCATTAACTCCTTCATTCACAAAGGAGCTATTAAGCAAATGACTGTTTCCAGGAGCCAAATTGAATTAATGCACCGAGTGATGATGAAAACCTATCCAGGCGTGGGTGCAAACATTCACCAAACTGCTTTTCGATCTCTGCTGCATCCTATGGACTGATGCTGTAGCTTTTTTATACTCTACTGCTTTTGACGACTGCCTGTAATATAATGCAAATTCTCAAGATTCTTCCTATGTTCCTGGGGCGTATGAGTAGCTACATCCCCTCCTCTGCCACAGATAGAAGCAGCCATTTAATTGCTATGATCCATGCAGCAGTTTTTTTAAGCAATTGCAGCTGATCATATTAAAAATGGAACAATAATAATAAAAAAACAAGCTTCCAAGTTTGACAACTCTATGTTCAGGCTAATGACTGATGGGTCCTAGTATATTTAGAATTTTGGACAAAGTACTTAATATTTTCTGTCAGGAACGGAATATAATGACATCTATCCTCATGGTTACTGTGTAGAGTATATTAATAAACTCTAACCAATTCAATATACAGTCTGACATATCGTAAACTTACAAAATGTTCCTGTAAAGTTCAGAACAATAATTAGTTATGTAATGTGCATGCTATTCACACAATTCATGCTCTATTTACAGAAACTAGCCAGTGTTGTGATAGCTATACTGAGAGTTATTGTGTCTTTTTATACAGAACAGTGTGTTTCAGACAGTCTCTGTTATATCAGTAATGGAGGGGAGGTAGTTTCTGGACCTCAGGCAGCTGGTGAGCTATTTGTTTAACAATTTGTGAACTTTCCTCGGTTGAAAGTGCAGTTATGCTGCGTACAGATGGACTGCGGAAATAAGGCTGGGAATGGAGCTTAGCACACGGGACTCGAGAGCCCCTGGTTCCTCCTCTGGTTGACTGAGGGTGATGAGCGCCGAGAGCACATGCTCCTGAACAACAGGCCTCCAGCAGCGTGAGCTCCGGCAGATGCTCTCGACAGGTCTTTGATTAACCTGGTATTTGTTGCTTTTGAGGAAGTGAATTAAAGACTTATTTTTGTTAACTCATCAGCAAAAATAGATATTGTTAGATAATGGGCATTCAGTCCTACACGTTCACACAGCCCAGGCGAAGGGATTAATCCACTGTCTAATGACTGAAGTCTTCTTTCCTATAAGCCTAATGGGAAAACAAATACTGCTTTTGATTTAGAAAGCGACAGAGCTCTCGGTCATTCTCCATCTGCTGTGTGTTAGAGCGTTTGAAACGACTTTTCCAGGGGCAGGGGGTGGGGCCGCCGTGCTTGATCTTACCTTACCATTCTTTCCCTAAAGATCTGCAATGCTAGTAATGCGATCATTTTCAGAATGCCATGAGTCCAAGATCTGGGCAGGCATTGTAACAATATGTTCAGTGACTTTTAATCTCAAACGTATTTTGAAGTATGTGGACATTGAACAGAAAACTGGAAGAAAATGGTTCAGGATGTTCTATATTGCATTTATTCCTGTTTCAATATTCAACTTTGCTCAAATTAATACCATATATGAGACCAAAAGAAAATATGGGAGAATGTTTTCTTCTTCCCTGAATGAGGATTCTTGCACAGGACTAGATATTGGAAGAATAAACTTGATATTGATTTGAACATGATGATACAACTAAGCTAGTCATGCTGAATTCAGCTAGTTTTATTGAATATGAAACAAAAGTCATTGTTCTTACTGGTGAATCTTCTACAAAGAATCCCTGCTCATCTATGCAAGCCAATAACAAGCATGCTGATTGGCAATTTATTCTTACTCTTTAATATTTCAAATACATATGTGTGCTTATCACATGTGTAGACAATGAGAGGATCCACTTAAAATGTGTTTCTTAATAACTGTCTTTATTTTCTTCAGAATTTCCTGACTGTGAGTTCTGACACAGCTGGTTGGTAAGTGTCATCTAGCTCTTTCCAATTCACAGCCACCCTATGTCCAAACGAATAAAGCACCGGCCCGTCCTGCACCCTCCTGACATTCGTTCTTATGTTAGAACCCACTTTTTCTGTCACTGTGTCAGCGCGTCATGTTAAGGTTTTCCCTCTCTTTTGGTGTCCTGCTACTTTACCAAGTCCTTCTCAAGGGGCTAGTCTCTTCTGATGGCATGTCAGAAGTGTGTGCGATGCAGCTCACATTCCTGGTCTCTAAGGAGAGCTCTGGCGTACTTCTTCCAAGGAAGGTTTGTTTTCCAATATTCTTCTCCAGCACCACAGTTCACATGCACAGATTCGTTTTCAATCTTCCTTATTCAATAGTCAACTTTCACCTACATATGAGACCATTGAAAATACCATTGCTTGGGTCAGGTACACATTAGTCCTCAAAGTACTATCCTCGCTTTTCAACACGTTATAAAGGTCTTATGCCACAGAATGATCCAGGGCAGTGACTGTTTATCTCTTGACTACTGCTTCCATAAGCATTGATTGAGGATCCAAGCAAGATGAAATCTTTGACTCCTTCAGTTTTTTCTCTATTAAGCTGGTAAGTATTGGTCCAGTTGTAAGGATTGGGGTTTTCTTTACATCAGGTTATAATCCATAAAGACCGAAATTCTTGATTTTCATCAGCAAGTACTTCAAGTCCTCCTCACTTTCAGCAAAGTTGTGTCATCTATATGTTGAAGATTGTTAATAAGCCTTTCTCCACTCCTGAATCCACATTTGTGTTCATATAATTCAGCTTCTCTAATTATATGCTCAGCATACATATTGAGTAAGTGCTGTGAGAGGATAAAACCTTGACACACGCACCTATCATGATTTAAATGATTTAGCATTCCCTTGTTCTATTTGCACAACTGCTTCTTGATCCATGGATAGGTTGCAAATGAGCCTAATTAAGTGTTCTGAAATTCCCATTCTTCTCAGGCTGCCTCTAATAAGGAAGACACTTCCACCTGGAAAATCTTCATGAAATAACTAAAGTTTGAAGGTGCTTGCACCATAAGAAAAAGTCCTCCCGGTTTATGATGTCATGCTGAGTAACAAAGAGGAGAAATGGTATCAAGTTCTTCATATAGAAATCACGACATGGTGAAATATCAACCAAAAAAAATCACTACTGTAGAGTTAATGCTGACAATACACACAGGTGCCCTATAGGACATGGTAGAATTGCCCCCGTGCATTTCCAAGTTTCCACTGTTAACTCTTTCTGAGAGTAGAAAGCCCCCTCCTTCTCCTATAGAGTGGCTAGTGGTTTTGAACTGCTGTCCTTGCAGATTGTAGCCCAATGAGTAAAGCACCAGGGCACCTGATGAAATATAAACATTGGTTATGTAAAAGGGGGGTTATTTATTTATTTATTTATGTGCAGGATATTTAGAATAAAAAATAGATGCAACTTTTTCCCAAAGGAGCCTTAGTTAACAGCCTTAAAGCTATGGAAGTGTAACTATCCTAACTGTGAATGCCTAATAGAATTTAGGAGTAGATTTTCTTCTCCAGTACATAAAGAACCCTGATGAGGGAGTGATTAGTCATTTGGCTATTAACCCAAAAGTTGGCGTTTTGGATCTACCAGTTGCTCTGCTAGAGAAAGTAGTGGCAGTCAGCGTCTATACAGATTCGAGCAGTGGAAATTTTACACTGCCCAAGGTGTTTTGTAGTATCAGCATGAGTCAGAATTGACTCAACAGAAACTTTTTTCTAACCTGGTACACATGGTAATATGTCAACTGCTCTGTTCCAACTGGAGGAAGTGATGGCTGTCAGTAGTACGGTAGACACTGGATGGGAACTTCTCATCATGCTACGTAAGGCAGTAAGATTCCATGATGTGATGAGCCTATTAGCACAAGAGGAGATCCTTGGAAAGCGCAAAATGGAGTTTTCTGGCAAAGGTTATTCTTTGTTCTTCTCTCTCTCTTTCTTGACCCTTTATTATGCTTATATGCTAACCTTCATTTCCATAGATAATTTTCTAGCCTCTTCCCCCACAATTCTGTGAGCAACAAAAGTCTCCAGCCATACTGAATTTGGGACTCAATAGCCTCCGTGATTGTGTTTTTTCTTTGAAGCAAATTTTCTATCTATCTATCTATCTATCTATCTATCTATCTATCTATCTATCTAAGCAAATTATCTATCTATCCATCCTTCCTTCCTTCCTTCCTTCCTTCCTTCCTTCCTTCCTTCCTTCCTTCCTTCCTTCCTTCCTTCCTTCC